GCAGTTGATGTCATCTACCTGGACTTGTGTAAAGCATTCGACACTGTCCCACACGACATCCTTGTCTCTAAATTGGAGAGACATCAATTTGATGGATGGACCACTCCGTGGATAAAGAACTGGCTGGATGGCTGCACACGAAGAGTTGTGGTCAATGGCTCAGTGTCCAGCTGGAAACCAGTAACAAGTGGTACCCCTGAGGGATTGGTGTTGGGACCGGTCTTGTTTAACATCTTTGCCACTGGCATGGACAGTGGGATTGAGTGCGCCCTCATCAAGTTTGCCGATGACACCAAGCTGTGTGGTTTGGTTGATACCCTGGAGGGAAGGAATGCCATCCAGAGGGACCTTGACACGCTTGTGAGGTGGGCTGATGCCAACCTCATGAAGTTTAACCATGCCAAGTGCAAGGTCCTACACCTGGGTCGGAGCAATCCCAGGCACAGCTACAGGTTGGGCAGAGAAGAGATTCAGAGCAGCCCTGTGGAGAAGGACTTGGCGTGTTGGTTGATGAGAAAATGAACATGAGCAGGCTGCAGTGTGTGCTCACAGCCCAGAAAGCCAACTGTATCCTGGGCTGCATCAAAAGGAGCGTGACCAGCAGGTCAAAGGAGGTGATCCTGCCCCTCTACCCTGCTCTTGTGAGACCTCACTTGGGAGTCTTGCATGCAGTTCTGGTGTCTGCAACATAAAGAAAGACATGGAACTGTTGGAACAAGTCCAGAGAAGGGCCACGAGGATGATCAGGGGACTGGAGCACCTCCCGTATGAAGACAGACTGAGGAAGTTGGGGCTGTTCAGCCTGGAGAAGAGAAGGCTGTGTGGAGACCTCATAGCAGCCTTCCAGTATCTGAAGGGGGCCTATAAGGATGCTGGTGAGGGACTCTTCATTAGGGACTGTAGTGACAGGACAAGGGGTAACAGGTTAAAACTTAAACAGGGGAAGTTTAGATTGGATATAAGAAGGAAGCTCTTTACTGTGAGGGTGGTGAGGCACTGGAATGGGTTGCCCAAAGAAGCTGTGAATACTCAATCCCTGGAGGTGTTCAAGGCCAGGTTGGACAGAGCCTTGGGTGACATGGTTTAGTGTGAGGTGTCCCTGCCCATGGCAGGGGGGTTGGAACTGGATGATCTTAAGGTCCTTTCCAACCCTAACTATTCTATGATTCAATATTGGGTGCCCATGTATTTCAAATGTGATACATAAGATACAACCTTTGTATGATCATTTTTGCACTGACATTTTCCCACTGGCTTCCTTTCAATTCATTTAATCTTTATTTCTGCAGCATAACATCCTGCTGGGTGTGCAATATCTAATGAAAGACTAATTAACCTCTTTCATCTTGAGGGGGAAGTTTCCATCCACCCCAGCTCAGGGACCTGAAACATTAATTCTCTTAAGATATTTATAGTGTAAACAGGTATTACCTGACAGCAGAGCTGCAGTATCCTAAGAGGCTCCATTTGCAGTGATTCAAGGTCACCCTGATAAATCTGGCCTGCACTTTTGCAGCTGATAGCTGGATGTCTGATTTAGCCCCCTCATTCTGCTCCTGTGACCTATTAGCTAGTCTGTACATATGCTGTTAAGAGAGGTCACTAATTTATGCTAAGTAATTTAGGCAGAGCATTCCAGTTCTTGTACTGTTAGAAATATTGCTGTTTAAGCCAAAAGCAGCAGCCTGTAAAAAGCTTTAGTCCACATTGTGTTTTTTCCTCAAAAAAAAAAAAACCAACAAGAAACCCAACAAAAAAACCCAGCCAACCAACCCCAGACCAAAAGACATTCTGGCCACAACTGTCAAATGCTATCCCAGCCACAAGCAGAACAAACACTTTTATGACGAAGTTCCCCTCGCTCGTCAAAAAACATTGTCAAATTGTACTGGGCACACTAGATAGACTAAGGCTGATTGCTCCAGAGATCTTCAGTCCCACTGGTGACAATGCAACAAGACAGGTCATAGGGTTCTGTATTCCTGATGTCCATTACTGTAATGCTTGCCGAGGCATTTCTCCAGCCACAGCAGCACGCAACTGGTGATTAAAACACCCTTTGGAGAGTATGCAGCAGCTCATTATTACTAGGAGAGACCTATGCTTCTGCTCTAGAATACTAATTCTCTTCCTTTACCCCACAGGGCTTTTTTTATTAAGAGATTATTTTATTTAACCCCTACAATGTATGTGACAACAACTTACTGCGAGGCCGGTCTGACACACTTGGTACATTGCAGGGCATTTCAAGATGACGGTGTTCAGCTGGAACTGGATGTCCTCCTCTGTTGCTTAGGATTAGAAAGCCTACTTGCTTAGTGGGTAGTCAAATTACCTACAGCAGTTGGAAAACCCACAGGTAGCTCATGGAGACTATAAATGGACACTGCAGCTAGTTGATACAATTTCTTCTTGCAGAATACGACAGAACACTGTATTTTTGTCGACAGGCATTACAGGCGAAAAGAATAGGGTCTTTTCTCAGAAAACTTGCTGAATACGCCACTGTATTAAGTGAGTTAGCAATTATTTAACGTTTTGGCTGTCACTATAATGGAACAGAAGATAAACAAGGAACCTCTGAAGTGAGCTGAGTCACAATTCTACTGACAAGTCTTTTGTAAAATTAGGAGTAACTACCTGCTAACACAGAAGGCATTCTTTTTGTCTTGCAAATATGCAAGCAAGAAATGCACCAGAGATCAAAATAAACAGAAAGCAACAAGTTCCACAAAGTGTGAACTGAAACAGTACAAGGTGGAGTAAGGAAACCCATGGAGAAATTTAAGAATGAGAACCTCCAGAACTTCATCACACCATGAAAGGAGAGGGGCAATCAAGAGGAAAGGGACTCGCTGACAAGCTTTAGAGAATCAAGCTGAACACCTTCCCAAGTTAGAATGGGATCATCTAGTAAAAGTAGCAAATGTTTCTAATTTTAGAAAAGGCAGTACCTCAAAATGGCATTAATCTTAAAATTGTACAACTCCATAGCCCAGATCACATGATTCTGGACAAGAAAACCAGCCCCAACAAAAAGTCACCCCATCCAAGACACCTACCATCATAGTTTTCACACATGAACTTGAATTGTTTCTGCTGGCTAACAGAACCTTTGAAGAGGATTGGGTGCAGAAATACCTTAAGAAATCCCATAATGTTGCAGAGTCAAGATTCTACATACTGCAGCATGCTGCACCATAGCAACACAGCCAAAACCTTTATCAGGGGCTCACTTTTTTCTTTTTTTTTTTAAACAGAAATGAGAAAAAATGTTTGCCATTATCACAAGAGGGATACATTTACACAGCATTGTGCAATGTTACACATACAAAAGTAAATGGATGTGAACTAGGATCCTCATTGGAAACAATCTTGCCAACCCTGCTGGCGCTGTGTCTACCCTGGATATTATCTGATGTTCCAAAAATTATTCTCAACCTCTAAATGCTCAAATGCAAGGGCTAATTTAATATACACTGGTACACTGGGCACTACAGCAGTGTAGATAAACGTGAGGCTTGCTTAAAACCAGACATACTCAGCCAAAAACACTCCCAGGTGGAAGGTGAAAAGAAACCAAGTCAACAAAAACGACCAGTGCCATGAGCACTGAAGACTACAAGCACCAGCCCTATTATTTACACAGCTGCTGTCTGCATAACGAGTGGGAGGGAGACAGCTCCAGCCTATACAGGACTGCATGTGCAGAGGCAGCTGGTCATCCCCTCACGGATTATCACCAAACCTAATCTGAAGGGATTTGCCGTTTATGCGGGTCCTCGTACAACTTTTCAGCAATTTTAAGGCCAAGGAAGTCTCCAAATCTTTTCGTTGCTGCTCCCAACTCTGGGTCTAAAGGTAGGGGAGGCTGCTAAAGGAAGGAAACCAGCGTGTCACCACCCGATTCCTGCCTAACCCCGCACCTGAAGCATTTCATTTCGCCCAATGCCGGCACCCAAATACACCCGAGAGGACGATGGCAGCATCTGAATTTTCCAGTCGCACCGGCTCACCGGGGAGTCCCAGCCCGCGGGGCGGCCACCGCCGTCCTGAGCCTCTGAGGCAGGGAGAGGGCAAGTGAGGTCGAGCGCTTCCTGCCAAGCCCGGCGGGCCGGTATCCCGTGCTGCCGGCGCTTGGCACGGCCGGCCCGGGGAAGAGGAGAGAAAAGGGGCGCGGGCCGTACGGGGGTAGAGCGCCAGGCGCGGGCGTGCGGGCTCTCCCGCAGGGACACCCACCGCTACCCGGCGGGTCCCGCCCTCCGCGGCACGGAGCGGGAAGACTGGGAGGGAGGGGGGGTGGGGAGGGAGAAGGAGAGAGAAGTGGGGGGAGAGCGCAGCGCGCTCCCGCGGTTCCCTCGCGCGGTCCCGCGCTCACCCAGGCGCGCCTCCCGCGGCGGGTTCTCCATCAGCTTCTTCAGCACCAGCGGGAAGGCGCCCGCCAGGCCCCGCTGCTCCTGCTGCGCGGCACCCCCCGCGCTGCCCCCGGCTGCAGTGGGCTCGGGTCCTGCCGCCGCCGCCGCCGCCTCCTGGTGCGCGGCGCGGCCGGGCATGCTCCCCGCGAGCCGGCGGGCGGGCGCGCGCGCTGTCAACGGTCACCGGCGGGCCGCGGCGCGGGGCTGCGACAGCTCCCCGGGACCTCAGAGGCCGGGAACCGACGGGCTCGGACCGCGGACGGCGCGCTGGAAGGGCGCTACGGCGCACGCGCGTCCGGCTGACGCCTGGCGCGTGCTGCAGTATTCATGAGCGCCGAGCCGCCCCCCTCCCGCTCCTCCCACCGCCGATTGGCCCGCGCCGCTAGGGGGGCGGAGTCCCGCGGGCAGGCCCCGCCCTCCCGGCCGGCGCGGGCACGCGCCCCCCGCCCGCCGGGGCACGTGCAGGGGCAGGCGCCGGCGGCTCGTTTGCATGCCGTGCCCCGCCTCCCCGCCTCCGCGGGAGCTGCGTCACCGCCGGCTGCTCCCTGCGCCTGCGCGTCGCGCGCGCCAAGCCCCCCTGCGCAGTCAGGCGACCGTTACCGCTGAGGGGACCGCGCGGGGGGTCCTCGCCGCCGGTGCCAGCGCTCCGTCCGGCCCCTCAGTACCCGCCTTTGTCCCCACGTCACCTTCCCATGTGACACAGAGGTAATCTCCCTCTGTCCTACGTGATGCCCGCCGCGGCGTGCCCTATATAATGTAAGCGGGGAGAAGGGATTCACTGCGGCTGCTGGCATGGCCTGGCTGCTGGGGGCGGCGGGGGGACAGGCTGTCCAAGTTTTAATGATCACAGGCAACCCTTGTGATTCTCCAGCCAGACTCCCCTGTTCCAGCAACAGGGATGCTGTGCCGGGGTTTAAGGTTCTGAACATACAAAGGGAGCAAGTGTTGCCAAATCCATCCCGAAAGAGCGCAGGCTGGGGAGCTTCCCCTGCAGAACAAGTAAGCTTGATGAAGTGGCAGAAGCTACAGCCACAGGCTTCTCCTGTCAGCAGCTGCTGCCTCTTGACACAGAAGGGCCGGCCGCAGCAAACCTACTACGTCTAGAGCTATGAGAAGGGAAAGGAGAGGAAACAGTGTGCAACCTCCCTGGCATGGTCTCTTCTGTACCCAACTGAGCCATAGGTGCCAGGGTGGGGATGTCTTCCCGAGTGCCCGCAGAAAAGGGTCCTCCTCTTCCTCCCAGGTAGACACTCAGGCACCTGCTTGGTTCTGTTGCCCCTACACAAATCTCAGGCATTTCATTCTGGTGGCAAGGCACAGGTTGACCTGACTTGCCAATAAACCCTGATGGTCTTTCTGACACAAAACTGGGTCTGGAATCCTCCCCATGCACCCCAGGAAAAGGAACGTATTGGAAGGCACATGGGGTAGGTGCTTTCCCCCCTTGCCTCACTTCAATGAGAACCAGGGGATGTTTTCATGCAACCTGGGCAGACAGAGCTTCCCTACCTGCCAGCTACTTCGCTTGCTGCCTCCTTCACAGAGGACCAGAGTGAAACTCTAGTGCAACTCCTGTGCATGCGCTGCCTGACAGGGAGCTTGGGAAAAGGCCATCTTGTGAATACAGGCTTGGAACAGTGCAGGTTAATGAATCATATGTCAAGACTGATAAATGCAGCTGCAAGAAGCAGGCAAAATAGCTCATGCTCCACTGCCCAGCATGCTCCTGGGCTGCTGCTTGCCCTCCACAGACTCCCTCTGCCTTGCCAAGCTCAGCTGGCGGAAGAAAAAAGCACATGCGTGAAAGGGAGATGCCACTTCACACGGGGCAATGAAACACAGATGTCAGACCACACATGAGAGGTGGAACACGCAGCTTGCAGCAACAATTTTCCCTGGGAAACAGCTAGTGGTAGGTGGTAGATAGAGAACACAACCAACTGAGGTCATGAAAGAGCAATTTCTAGGAACAGGGAGAGGGGATGTAGCCAAAGCAGAGCAGGCTTCAGTTATGGCTTTCATGGTTGCTTTGTTCCGTTATTGTTGATGCTGGAGGCCCCTTGGGATGATGCTGTGTCTTAGTACTGTACAGTGCTCCTTCAAGGAACAGGCTCTGCATGTATCCTCCCCCGAACTCAATGGAAACTGCTTTGCTGGGTAACGTCCATATGAATGGAGGTTATTAAAACCACTCAGCAGCCTCTACTTCAAGGCTTTTCCCTTTAGATCAACCACATTCTTCCTCCAGCCCATTTGCACCCACACTCCACTCTACTAAGGTTTATTCTGCACCACCACTGGGTTGTGACTTTGCCTGGAGAGACATTTTAGCCCGTACAGTGTTAGATGCTTGGCCTGAATGCTGGGGAGCATTCCTGTGGGTTCCCTCTCACATCACCCTGCTTGGGCACCAGCTCTGCCCTGCCAGCTAGGAGGGAGGCTACTCCGAGAGCTTTTCTTTGCTGCCTCTGGGGTTTAGGGGCTCAAACCACTGCCAGCAGAAAGTGGGCACTGCACCATCAGCTCTACCTTGTTGGTTAAGCTGAAATCTGCCTGGATTTTTACAACTTCTCTTTTGCTCTGCAGCTCAGAAGGAAGAGAGGAAGACAATGAGATGTAAGGAGAGGAATGCAGCCGTTACTGCTGGGAGCCTTGTCAGGGCCAGATGATGCAGAACAGCCCAGCTCTAATGCAGCAGGGAGGCGAGAAGCAGCCCAGCACTAGGCATGGGGGGAGGGACACACACACACACCAGCCTCTCTGGGAGGTTTGAATCTCAGAACACATTTCAGAGGCCTGAGACCCAGCAAATCCAGAAGAGTGGTGCATGGGTCTGGAGACCCAGAAGGGGTGAACTCAGCTCTGTGGGAAGAGGGCCATGACAGGAATGCTGGTGTGGGGAAGGAGGCAGCATAGTAGGGACAATTCTAAAGATTACAGGAGGTGATGCTGAGAGGCAGGGTGGTCCTGGGGCTAAGGAAGAAAGTGCCACAAAACAGTACCCTCAGCAGCCAAATAAGCCACAGTGAGTTTAGGCTAAATTATTCCCTCTACAAATCACTGATCTCCCCTCTAAACCCCCGCTCCAGTTCTTGCCAAACAAATGTATCTTGCCAGCACTCCTCCCTTGGATTAATTCAATCCACTTGGCTGTGGAGCCCAGAGATCCCAGAGAGGCAGCCAAACTTCAGCTTAGCCACAGGAAGGCTCTGTACCACATGAGCCTCCCTTGGCTGTTACTGCCTCCTGCCAGCCAGGTCCACCTTCTATCTGGGTATCAGTCAGCTCAGAAAACATGCCCTGTTCCCCACATGCAGCTTCATACTGTGTGATGTGTAAACACCCCCGTCATTGGGCAAAGCCTCAGCAAAGAAGAGAGCCAGCTCACAGGTGGCAGCAGCAGAGCGATGTGACAAAATGAACCCTTAGGGAGTATAGTAGCTACCCTTGCCCTCCTTCTCCTTCCCACAGGGAGCTGTGCAGGTGCCATAGGGTTCACTATATGCAGCTGCCTTTCCTGCCACAGCAGCAGCCTTTTCTCCCATTGACCCCAGGACATGAGCAGGGTCCCTCTCCACATGTTGTATCTGGCTCTTCTGCTCCTGGGTCATGCTGCCCCTCAAGACGACAAAGCTGTCTGCATGTCCTGGTTGCAATTCCCTGTGGAAGAGCGAGGTCCAAGCATGTTTGTTTCTGTGAGTTCAACTCACTCATGCCTAGACATGAGCTTGTTGAACCAAGGTGTTCCCACACACCTCCCCGGCACTCAGCAGCCAACATTAAAACACAACAAACAAAAAGCAGCTTGCCAAGGGCTTGTGGCATCTTATCCAAAACCAGACTTGTGTGATGGGCACTTGGAGCACACCCAGCAATGGAGAAGTGGTCAGTTCAGCAAGGGTGAAATGTTCAGCACAGCAGAAGCCCAGACTAAATAACCTCATGGCTCCTTTCCATTTGTTTTCTAGGATGCTGCACGGAAAGCAGGACAGCCCCGGAGTACAAAAGTGCTCTTGCAAAGAAAACACCACGTTTGCTATGTTCCCTACTCCAGCTTCTCACTGATAAACAACTGCAGCATCAAACACAAAGTTTGCACAGAGTCTGTAGGCTGGGCTCCCTGGACATTCTGCGTCTGGGAAGAGGCAATGTCTGGAGGCTCAGCAGTTATTAACCATGGGACAACCCGAATGGCAAGCTTGGAAGTCACTCCTATTGTGAGCATGGAGATTTGTGCCCAAGCTGCCTCTGTGCACAAAGCTTTGAGTGTTTCCAAGAACTAGCTGAACCTGGAGATTAAAGGGATCAGGAGCTCAGCACTCTTGATTGATTTTCTAATCAATCCATTGCTGCTGTTTTTACTCCTAGTTGCACAACACACTCCGAGCCAGAATCCCATGTCTGACTTGGACACTTGGGAGAAACACACCCTCGAAGGGCTTGCAGCGGACAAGATCATCTACCCCCTTCTTTGCAACTTAAGGAGGAGAAAGAGAAATCAACCAGAAACCCTGCAATGCAATTCCCTCAACCCTACCTGTCATCTTGTTGGTCCAGGGTAAGGAGTACTCCAGCAGGGACTTCAGGACTTCCGGGAAGTCCAGGGCAGCAGGGCCCCCGGTGCTGTTGCAGCTTGACATGTCCTGTGCTGAGGCTGTGCCAGCACTGCTGAGGCAGGGCCAGATGCCTGGCTGCCAACCCTGAGTGTGGCAAGGAGGGCTGGGGGGCACCGCGAGCAGGCTTCCCAAACTACTCCGACTGAGAGCAAGCGAGGAGGAAAGGAAGCAGCAGTGTGCCCAGCTGTCTCCACCTTCCCCTCTCCCAGTCTGAAGTGGCCAATTGTGGAAATGGCTCCAGGCTCGCAGGGCTGGGCCGGGCTGGGCTGCTGGCCAGCTGGTTTTACTGGGCCTCTCCCAGCCAATCCGGCAGCGAAGAACTGGGCCAGTTATCTAACTTTGCGAAGGCAGCACCCTTTTCCTTCCTAAGGTGTTATAACAAATGTACACGATGGGGTGGGGGAAGGAAGCAAGCGAGCACTGTCAGGAGTACACACGTCAGCTGCAAACACAACAGCAAAGGATCCTCAGCATGGCTCTTGGAAAGCTCTGAGGAGCTCTGAGCTGTGCAGGCTGCCCCTGTGGCAATGCATACGCTGTCTGCATCTGCCTGCTAACTTCATCTGAGATGCAGATAGTGACAGTATTTGTACATCGTGCAACAGTTAGTGTGTGTCCTTCCTAAGACAACATTGATAACAGCATAAGGCATTTTTCTCATCAAGTGTGGATCATCTGCAAAATGCAGAATTTCTTTCTGTAAATGGCACAGTTTCATCCGAAAGCCAACAGCCTCCTCTCAGAGCAGTGATGTAAGGCAAGATAGTTCATGCACCCTGCAGATATTCTAACACCTGGTTAAGTAAGATCTTGAGCATGCAAAGCTCCTCCTCTCCCATTAGTGTCACTTTTAGTATGGAGGGAGGGATTGGAAATAGGAGAATAAAGGCCTGGTCTTCTTTATCAGTGTCTGGCTTGGGAAGAAGCATCTTACACATGCTGGGGGGGGTGCGGGGGGTGTGTGTTCTCTTTTGCTGGGTGTGGTAATTAGAAGAAAGTGCCTTTATTTCTCAGTCTGCTCCTGTCCATTTTGCCAGGCTCAGCCTTACAGCACCAGTGTGAGTCATTAGCAACCAGGTACTCCTACATCACTCTGTGAGCCCCAGCTACTGGGGACAGCCCAGCAAAACCTTGCATGGCTCTAAGCATGGAAGTGGCCTGAGCAAAGTCATTAGGTATTTTCTTGTGCTTGAAGTGAAGCATTTCACTGGCCCAGCATTTGAGGTTTTCAAAAGTGATAGGGTTTTGCTCACTCAGGAATGCATTTGATTCAATCCAACAGAAAACAAAAAGAAAGAATTACCTAGCCAGGTTGGGTGTTGGGAATTTCAGATTAGCTGGGGTAGTTTCATGATCTAGATCCCAATCTAATCAGGCTCAGAAATCACACAGTAGATGCTTTGGCAGAATTCTTAATTATGATAGAACCATAGTACAAACTGTTGGGATTTTCCTTGTTGTTTGCTCCTCCCTGTTCCCCAGGGAGAACATAAGAATACAGCCCGTGATAATCATCAGTGGTGAGGCCATTCAGAGAGAATAGTCCCCTACTAACTCTAGGGGTTCTCCAGCCACCCAAAGCTGGAGCCTGCAGACAGTCAGTGCATCCTGGCTGCTGGCAGCAAGAGAAATCATTGCATGTCTCCCTCCTGAAAGAACTGCCTGCAGCTTGGAGGTCCACGTCCTCTCCTGTAATCTTCTGGTCCATACTGGCTGGTATCACTAACATTTGGGACAGCTACCATTATATATGCCTAGGTAAAGTGATTGGGATGTGGTAGCTGCCCAACGCCAGGTGCAGCTGGACCTCCTGGTTTTGCCCCAGGCTCAAACTTCTCCTGAGAGCTGGAAAAACATATGACTACATGTCTGGAGGAACCCAAGGGCTTCACAGCAGCTGCTGCAGCAATTGACTGACACATGGCTTCAGAAGATTAAGTTCACTGAGTGGAAATTTACAGAATCATGGAATGTGTTAGAAGGGACCTTACAGATCACCCAGTCACTTAGCATTTTGGATTATTAGCCTGTGCGTCAATCCAAGTTGCCATCTTTCCCTCAGCCTCAGGAGTGCTCCCTCAACTCCTTCACAGAGCCACACCCAAAGTTTCTGGAGCTGCCTTTGCACTACCTCCTCTCCTACTGGTGTCTTGGCAGGGTCCTGCTGGACCCTCAGACCCAAAACAAGAGACGGTGGCACACCCGGGTGCCTCCTTGGTCAGAACTCCTGCAGGTTGTTGCTGTGGATCTTGTACTTGGTGGTGGCACTTGGCTGCACACCAGCTTCTGAGACCACCATTACAGAAGGGAACTTGGTTGTTTCGGAAAGCACAGCCCGTGGGGAATCCACCAGCAGCAGTGACACTTGACCAAAGAAAGTCATTACTGGTTACTGTTACTAATTGCTGTTAGCTTCCTCCAATGCGATGAAAGCTTGGCTTGATTATCTAATGGAAAGAAAAACCCATTTTTTGTCTGATTTTCTAAGGACACAAAGCTTACACAACAATATTATCCCTCCTTCTCTGCCTCTTTGCAGACATCCGTCACTGGTTTTTGTTCTTGTACTAGGTCTGAGGACAAATGCACACTCCACTGACAGCTTCCAGGTTTAACTCTTTGTTTGTGTAGTGCGTTTGGTTTGATAGGGATTTTTTTCACCTGTGCAGGGCCCAGCAGGCTGAGTTTCACCATGGCCTTTCTCAAAGGACGCTTGCCCTGCATCCCACCACCTTGTCTTCTACAGGGTTGAGATGCTGCTGCTGGTGGCAACAGACATCTACAGAGCAGTAAGAATACCCAGAATGGCAGCAGCAGGCCCCACCTCTGAAGGAGCTGCCCCTTCCCAAGGCAAGGTACCACATGCATACACCTGTGTATGTGTCTGTGTGTGCCCTTCTCCCTACATGGAGCAGCAGTACTTGGACTCCCAAGTGTGCAGTGCAGTTGGGTGGATGGAGGCACCTGCACCTCCCACCTGAGGTGAAAGGATTTCTAAAAACTAATTCCCCCAAAGGAGTGCCAAAAAGCTAATGAGCTTTGCTTCCCCACCCCCCGCCAAGACATCTCCCCCTTCTCAAGAATGCTCATGTGGCAGCTCTGCTTCTCTGCACGTGGCCTTCCCTTGTGAGGTGCCATTTTCTGGAAAACTAGGTGCTAGGCTGGGAGAAAAGTGAGAAAGGCTCTCGGGATCACCAGGAGTTGTGCTGCCCTCGGCAGGAAGGATACCTAGAGCTGCCTGTGTGCATTTCCCTGCTCTGGAAACACTGAAAGCCTGGGCAGAGCTGGCTTTGGGAGATCTCTGAACAAGCCTTGGCAGGAAGCAGGGTCCAGGAGGTGCCAAGAGTGGCAATAAACCAGGGTGTTTAAAGCAGGATGGGGAAATCCAAGGACAGTGATTGCTGGGCCTCTGCCAGGGCCTGTGGGAGACTGTTGGGTGGGACACCAAGGAAGATACATGTTCCTTTGGCTGCTTCCTTCTCAAAACGGAGAAGTTGGCTGTAAAGACCTCGGCTGTCCCTCGGCTCTCCCTTCCCAGGCTCACTCACCTCCCCAGGGAATGACGTGGCTCCCGGCAGGAGCAGGGATCCTGCAGCATCACAGTCCAAGAGGTCAGAGCTTGATGGATTGATACAGGGATCAGCTGAGCCTGGGGAATACACGTAGGATGGAAGAAAACAACCTGCCCTCCAAGAAGCATGGGCAGTTTGGCTGCTGCTGATCCCCCAAAGCCAAGATATGAATGGTCTCAAACAAGAGAAGATCCAGGCTGCCAAGAGCTTCTTTTGAAACACTGCTTCTACTGAACCGCCACCACAGCAACTTCCGATTGTGCTGCAGTTATACTCGAGCCATTTGGCTGAGGAAAGCTGAGGCCATCTCACTCCCGTGGAAGCAGGACTCTCCCTCACTGCCTCTGAGCTTTGCTGAGGTACAGATGGGGGAGCATGCGTTGGTATTCAATTAGAGAAGCTATGCAGCTCTTCACCCTTCCCAAACGTCTGCTGGAGGGCCCCAGCACTACCCAAAGCCCACAGCTAAGGCACACAGAGGAAATCCAGAGAACAAGGGAAATACACCAAAGAGCACCTCCAGTATTTCTCCAGTTCCAAGCAAGCCAAATCTACTCTGGCATCTGGGTTTAGAGATTTCCATTCTAGCCCCGGGTAAGTGTCATTTTTGGAAGGATTAATCCAGCTGGTAATTAATAAATCTATTTCCTGGGACTCTGTGCAGTTTCTGTGCCTCCCAAGGCTCTCAGGAGAAATTAAGAATTTCTTGGGGTGCTGCCATCCATAAGCTAAACTGCAGAGAGGAGAACCCCTGAAAGGGGCAGTCTTGGGAGCTGCCAGCACCAGGACTGTTACAGTGGGGAAGGAGTCAGACAGAGCTGTCATCTCTCCTGATCTCTACTCCTTGCTGCATCTGGATCTGCCTTCAGGAGACACCAGAACCTCCTGCTCCTGCCTGGAGAGGGACCCACAGAGAAGCAGGCGGAGACAATCAAGCTGGGGAGGGAGGGAGGTTATTGGGAATGGATGGGCCCCATCCTCTCCCATCCTGAGGAGAAAGGGTTGAGGCTGGATGACACATGGTGCAGAGCTCTCAGCAGTGCCCATGGCTTTCCAGGGAGCCCAAAGCACTCCACACTGTTACCTCCTCTGTGCCCTCCACCCCAGCCAGTGGCCAGCGCTGCTCCCCAGGTTACAGCTCCTGCAGGACGGGA